TATTACTATGAATAAGGGTGACTAGTCATCAAACCCCAAATTATAGAAATATATAATAATAAAATATCTATGATGTTGACCTGTGATTCTTTTTGCTGGAATTGCAAGAGCGCGATCTTCTTTCTTTTTTTTTCCTAACCGGAAATATTAACGAGTACTTAAGACTTTTTTTGAGGGGGACATTACAAATTTTAAATAAATTTTTTAAACACAAATAAATTTAAATTATATTTTATATTAATTAACCCAAAAAATAAAAAAACTGATCCCAAAACAAAACTTTACTAAGGTTAAGCAACACTGGGAATTAAATATGGCTGGAAAATACTTAGTATTTATTTGTGTGAATATGTATTATAATAATAATAATTAAATGAACCGCGTGGGGTTGTGTATAAATTACTAGAAGTAATGAGACATCTTTAGAAATGTTGAACTTAAGCAACCAAAATTGGATTGCATAAAATTGATCAATTCGATTGATTTAACTGTTGATACGTCATACAAAATTATCTTGGTTGGGCACTGAATCTCGAGGCAAAATCAGTTCGGAACTTCAAAAAGTAAATTGAGAGCATAGAAACTCCGATTTCCAGCGAGCTTACAGTCAAACTGAGCATCTCGGAAATACAATCATACGACACCAAATTCGACCAACCGAGTCCAAATGGGTCGAATCAATGGACCGAAGCGCTGTTGGAGGTTCAAACCGAATTTGAGTTACAACGTCCCTCCGATTTTAAGAGCTTATACTTCGAATCTGAGCGTCTCGAACGACGATAACGAGCCCAAGATCAGTAATTCGACACATTAAATGGCCTTCAAATGTCCAACGAACGGTGCATGATCAAGGATTCGATATCGACTGTCCATATCAAACCACTCCCAATTCGCCTGATCTCACGCTATTTTACAGGCTATCCACTCCAGAAAACTATAAATAGCCCTCATCTATACCAAAGGGGCTCAAGGGAAAGAGAGGAAGAAGGGGAAGAAGAGAATAGGTAAAGGAGAATCCCCTCCTCTCGAACCGTCGGAGTCTTCTATCCGCCGAACAGCCGGGATTCTGCGTGATATTCGGGAGACGCAGGAAATTCCTTCCAACTTCCACATGATGCTGAATTCTTCTCAATTTGCAATAGAGTTCCTCCTGAGTTCCGAACTCCCCAAGTGAAAGCCGAGTTTCTTTTGCCCCACAGATGTCGATTCTACCGATGCACCTTCGCACTCTCGCAAGTTTCTACCCGGCGCCGGCTTCTAACCGTTACGGATTATCCGCTGGACGTCTACGCGAAGATTGTATCTTTCATTGTTTGGAACTCTACTGACACTGTCCTTCTGATCTTTCGTTGTCCAGACCACAAGTCTCTTCTGACCCGTGCCGCCGACTACTCCCCTGACTTATGTCGCCCGCCAACTACAGTCTTTCCGACCTCCGTCGCCCGCCGACTACGGTCCTCCTGACTTACGTCGCCCGCCGACTACAGTCCTTCCGACCTCCGTCGCCAGCTGACTACGGTCCTCCTGACTTCCGTCACCCGCCGGCTATAGTCCTTTCAACAAAGCAAATATGTCAATAGTAGCTCTTTGTATTTACATCATGTAATGCACTCTATAAGATATACATCAAGCTAAGGCCTTCTCCCAATGAAGGGCCTCATTTGTAATCGACTGCAAATACTAGTGGATTCGTTCAAACTGGGCTAGGCCCCGTGGTTTCCCCCCCTTTTTACAGGGGTTTTCCACGTAAAAATCTTGGTGTCTCATAAATGCTAGACCCTCTCTCTTATCTGATTGCGTGACGGATTTTCGTACAACGCTAAGACGATAAACTTTATATTTCTCTACCGCCGCGAATACTCCCGGACGCAACAGCTGTAAATTGGCCGAAAGGCTCGTCGGATCAACAAAAACAATCAATTTCTCATCCCATTGGCAAGAATCGGTGCAAATTGCTGATTCAACTGATGATTCATTGAACTGACGTCGATTCTATGGAGTTGTTCGATTCAATCTAATCACTATTAATATTTGATATTGATACGTCAAAAAAATTTCCTTGATCTAGCATGAATCTTAATGCAATTTTGAATTGGAAACTTCCAGAATTAATTTCAGGTCATCCAAACTATGACTTCAGTAAGCTTATTGTCAAATTAAATATTTCTAGGAGACAAACCCAATAACACCAAATTCATTTCAATTTAAGCCCAAATCAAAGGACCAAAGTCTATTTGTAAACTTCAAAGTATTAACTGGATGATCAAACGATATCTGAATCGAGTGGCTTGATGATATAAATCCAACGAGCCAAATATAGCCAAATTCTAATATCAATAAAGCACTTAAATGCTCCATGATTAAGGGAATAAGTATGGGACATCTAGTTGAACACTTCAAAATTGTCCTGAATCTTCTTCATATTTACTTCATGCCACTCCTAAAAAATTACAGACACACTTTCTTCACATGAAGGGGAGAAAGAAAAGAAGAGCTATGGAGCGTGAAGAATTATGGAGGTCCACCCTTGTACACCACCAACAAATTCATGCCACCATGCATATTTACTAAATCTCTAGCCGACCATCATCGTCAGACCACCATTTGGAAGCCACTAATGAGCTTGCATTCTACTATTGTTTTTTGACTACAGTCTTTTCGACTTTTTTTATTCTCCAACTACAATCCCTCCGGCCATCATCTATGGACTACGATCTCTTGACCACTGTGGCTTGACTAAGGTTCTTTTATACCGCTGTCACCAACCAACTGCGATCCCTTCGACCACCTTCACCTACTGACTATGATCCTTTTGATCACCGATGTCCGGCTACGATCCTTCAAACTTTTGTCACTCACCAACTACGGTTATTGTGACTATCATTATACAACTACGGGCGTACCAACCAAATGAACAGACCAACACTTTCTTGAGGACAACTCTCATGACATTTGATTCTTCCAGCTATGTAAAGTACTATATATGATGTATTTTTGTTACATTAATTTAGCCAAGATCTTCCATGAGGAAGGGCATCATTTGTAACCAATTATAAATATTAGTTGATTCATTTAAATTGGATTAGACTTTATGATTTTTCCCTTTTTCAGAAATTTCAAGTAAAATATTAGTGTCTCTTATGAATGAACCCCTCTCTCTTTTATCTGTTTGTGTGATGGATCTTCATACAAAATTAGGACATTAGTCTTTATATTTCTCGTCTCCTATCCCTTGACGAAGTTTCACCACTACTTATTTTTTATGGCTTTTTCTCTTCCACATTAGCTAAAAAATGTAAGAGATGGCTCACTCTTCTTTTATCCTCTTGCATAGAATAGTCATTTCTCCTATCAAATCAAAAATGGAAGTAAAATGTGATATAAAATAAGAAATATGGGATGCTTTAAATAACTCAACAATGAACTAAAAAATAGTTGGAACAGTTTTTATAAGCGAACAAGTTGCAGTAACATTCATTAATGATCTCATAGGTATCTACAGGCTCCAGGAAGACTATTAGATAAAATACATTTCTTAATGACGAATTATCAATATTATCTCTCGTTATTTTATGACTCTTTAATATTTCATATAATAAATTAAAAAGTCAATATTAATGGTAGCCAATAAATATTTGAGATTGTTTTTTTTCTTTTTTCTTATTTTTTTGATTTAAAGTTTATGATTGGTTGAGCCAAATAAGGCTTTTAAATAATAGTATAAAAATATTAATATCTTATTCCAAATATTTCAACCTTTATTTTATTCCAAACCAAAATTCATTAATAAAAATTTGAGCAATTATATCACCTTTTTTTTTTCTAGATGCTGCATTGATTTTGTGGAAATTATTTTGTACGGTCATCAGATTATTCAGAGGCAACTTAGGATGCATCACGTCATCCGATGCACAGCGGTACACAACACCGATATACGATAAAAAAGTAACGTGTCGCGTCCTAATTCACCTCAGGACGACGCTCAGTGACCACATATAATAATTCCTTTTGATCTTGAGGCAGATTTTTGCTACCAAAGCAAATTTTTAGAAAAATGCCAATTTTGCATATAATTTCAACAGGACCGAATTAACATTTCTATTTTATAAATTAAATTTATTAAAAAAAAGTATTAACATTATATTTTAAAATCCCGAACCCGACCCATTTTTAAAAACAGGTTAGGCTTCTAGACCCAAAACCGACCCGATTCGGGTCCAGGTCAACCCGACCCGACACGAATGACCCGAAGTTGACCTAAAATTGCTAATTTTCGGGTCAAAATCAGATCAATCTCGAATTTTCAGGTCAAATATGAGTTTTGGTGTTCGAACAAACTTATTGTATTTAGCTTCAAGTACGGAAGAATTGTGTAAAATATCCTGATAAATTATATCAACATGGATTGAAATCAATAACTTTATCTTAGAATTAATGCTTTATATACAAAACATATAGCTTATTATTTTAAAAATAAATCAATTAATTCAAAATTCATCATAATATAATTTACGTAATATACATTTATGTTAGATTAAATTGTCTTGGCAGTTTAATAACAATTCTAATTTAAATATATTCTTAATTTTTGAGGAAACAGCTCACTTCTTTAAAAGTGAAATCAGTTAATTTTGCATTAGGGTTCAACATTTGAGACAGGATTTCTAAAACTTTATTTGGGACTATTTTTTTTGTGATTCTTAAAGCAATTTTCTTGTATAAAAATTATAAATTTTATACTAAAAAACTGCTTTAATAAATAAAAAAAAAGTTACCAAACAAAATCTAAGAAAATTTTTTAGTAAAAAAAGCTTTTTGAATTATATTGACATAACATGCAAATTTCATTTTTGTTGCTTTCCAAGACAATTTTTTAGCAAAAAAGCTTTTTGAATTATGTTGACATATAGAGATAAAACAAAAATTTCCAACACAGTTCTATATTGACATAATATGCAATTTTCTCAAACAAAAATTTACACTGACGTACAAAGAAAAAATTAAATAAATCAGACTGAATTTTCATTTTTGTAGCCACTCTAAATTGTTTATGCACAAAAAGGCCCATAAATTGGTTAATTAACAATACACTTGTAAACAGAAAGCCATGCAAATTTCACTTTTATTTCCTCGAGTGAAAATGGATGGCTTGAACTACAAAACAAACAAAGAATTATAAACAAACAAACAATAATCTATAAAAAAGCCACAAGAGGACATATGGGGATGCATTTATCTATCTGCCAGCCGTTCGATCTATTTTGGATGAATGGGATTCAATCCAAGTGGATGGGAATGCTGATAAACAGAAACTGGGCCTCTATAACTGTATGCACAAACAGCAGAAAAACGGAAAATCAGGTCTTTGTGCTCTTATTTCTGAGAAACTCTTAACAACTCTTTTGCCATAGAAGAGAAAGATCGAGCAGTATCCTGCATCTCAGATGACCGAGTTCCAGTGTCCTGCCAGAAAACGATGTGCATCAAAATTACAAAGAGACAGAGAGAAGAGTTGTTTGTGCTTCCTGTAACTCTAACAAGTGAAACTAAGGCTTCATTTGAGGAGGCTTTTCTACTGCTTCTTAAAATATCTTTTTAGACAAATTTTTTAATTTTTATACTAGAAAGCTGCTTTAAGAAGAAGTAAAAAATCCGTCCCAGATAAAGCCTAAAATTTTGTTTGGGATAGGTTTCTTACTGCTTTTTAAAATAATTTTCTAGCATAAAAATTTCAAGTTCAACTACAAAAAAACTGTCTCAAATGAACCATAAGTATTCATTTTAGTTATAACTGTTTTAAAATATTTCAAAAAATTAATTTTGAATTACATAAGAAATATATTTAATAAATATCTATTTTATGTGTGCACTTCTCTAGGATTTCATGAAACAGAACTTCTATATGAGAATGTGATGTTCTTATTTCATATATGAGAATGTTCTGGTTGATATTGGTACTTTTTAGCTAAGAAAATTTTGATATTTTGAAAAAGTTTTCCTTACAAAACTATGCTGTACGATTATAAGTTAAGTGAACTGAGAACTCGTTGGACTTATTGGGATACCTGCAACTTCCTCGAGTTGTCTTTCAGCCTGTCCTTCGCAATTGCCGGAACGCTTAGTTCCTGCATCAGAAAAGAATAATTATATCAAGATAGAAAAACTGCGACAGAAAAAAGAGGGCTTTCTCAATAGAGCAAACTACAACTTCAAAAAAATTATAACGAAAGATGTAGCTTAAATCACTATCAAAATATTTATGTCCAAGTTAGATATTATTTGAATTGTGAAGCCAATCTTTTTCATAATAAAATCTTCATAAAAGATGATTCAATCTTCTCTTTAACTATTATATTTTTGTGCGCTATGCGAATGTTTTGAAGATCTTGTAATAATATAAAGATGTGGAAGAAATCATTTATTAACTATGAGGGATCTTGTGAAATCTCTTGTTAGCTTCAAGAGATCTTATAATAAATTCTATCCCTAAACTCATTCCTTATTTTTATATGAGATATAATCTCTATTTCATCTCTTTTGAAGATTAGCAAAATTATTTGATCTCTTTATTGTCATGAACATACGTGAATTTTATCAAACCATGTAAACTTATGTGTCTTGTATTTGTGATATCTACTATGTTTGGTCTTTCATTTATTTTTTACTCTTAGATTATATTACTACCATAACATATGCAAGAATAATAGTACTAATAAAATTGATTATGAGAAATATATATATATATATATTTATTACCTTATCAACACAATCATAATAAAATGACTATTTAAGTGAAACCATCGCATAAAACATAGTAGGATGGTTGATAGAATTTTAATGCTGCTATTTGCTTCTTAAATTTTGAAAGATGGATAAACAGAAGATCCAAAAAATTAAACAGGCACATCTGTAGCTTACAGTGCCTGTTGAATATCCGTATTTCTTCTTGATCTGATCAACTGTACCAGGCGACTTCTCATCTTCGTTTTTCTCTTTTGTGGCATTCAACTTTTCCTCAGACTTGGGCTTCAATATCCCTGCACAAACAAAAAACATCTCCACATAACATGTGACATGTTTGATTAAACACCTAATGAGGTCATGAGAATCCCTACAGTACTTCTATGTTGCATGTAGAAGAGTGTATTTGAGAGGCACAGCCGCTATTTACTGAAGCTAAAAAACAATAATAACAGGAAAAGTGGCTCAGAGGACAATAAGATGATGCTAACCCCTGATTTCCTGAAGTTTCTTGCCTAGGCTCTGTTTATTTAGAGCAGGAAAATTCAGCCCTTTGGGTTTGTCTTTAGTGTCATCAAGATCAATATCATCTGCAAAATAAAGATGATTGGTCATGAAGTGAATCCCATTTCTTAATAGAAGTAGTAGACAAGAGGCTCAGAGGACATTACTTATATCCAATTCATCAATTTCTTCATTTTTGGCTGAGGTATTCGTGATTTCATCAGTAGATTCGAAATTGGCTGTTGAAAATATGTTTGATAGGTCTTCAATAGAATTTGAGCAAGAAACTTCAGGAACAGTTTCTTCATTATGCTTTGACTTGCTACCTTTTACAACCATGCTGAATATACCCTGAAATAACGATTCCTCTTTAGACATGGTATAATATGTTTATCAGTGTGGTTACAACAAGTTAAACATAGTACCTTATTTTTCTTCTCTTTGTGGGCATTAAGATTAGGAAAACTTTCTTGCTGCATGATAACACCCCTCTTGTAAACCTTACTGATAGACTCCAGGCTCCTGTCAAGAGTTAGAAATTGAGCAGATGCCAGTGAAAGCACATCCACAAATCACAGGATGAAATATTTCAATCGTTCATATGATTTTACATACAGTAAGCAGCTATGTTGCACCGATGCACCTATTTATGAAGGCGTGTTGTATTTGATACACTGATACATGGTTACACCTCCGATACGGCATCGATACATGTCGCATATGGCTTTGCCATATCCAATTAAAAAAAAAATTAATTTCAAAAGGATACGCGTGTCTGTTGAAAAACAAAAAAAATCCGAAAAAGATGCGTCGTATTTACTTCTGCAGTTGCGAGCGAGGTTCTCTCATTTCCAAGATGGATTTGAGTCTCTTGATGATATAAGAATATTAGAAATTGCTAATCTTTTATTTGATGAGCCTGAATTAGAAGCTATGATCTTTATTGAAGATGATATAGAAGTTCAAAGACAAACCACTGAAGAAGCTAATTATATCATTCTTTCTATTGAATAATTGAAACTTAACGTTCTAGACAATTTATGTTTATGCTTTTGTTGTTGTACTAGACATTTAATGCTTACTTTTATTTTGATATTATGAGCTACAAAGCTACAAATGATGTTGCTTTCATTTTTTTTGTAATTTCAAATAGTATATTTTGATTGTTTTCTTAAATTTTTATGTATAATTTATAAATTATAATGACATGTCCGCGTATACCTGTATCATGTTTTTTAAGAATTGATGTGTCTTGTGTCCGTATCTGTGTCGGCGTATCCGTATCGGTGCAACATAGGTAAGCAGTAAGGTGCATGCAGCTACATTTCACACCATAAGAAAAAAAGGGTTGTACGCAAGTATCTAACATTTCTCATGAAAAGTAAAACAAGGAGTGCAGAAAGAAAATGAAATTTTAAAATTCACATCAAAGTTGTTGTGATGCAACATTAAATTCGGATGATGTCACAATGAGATATGAGGATTAAGGGGTTGCATCAATTTTGAAATAAGAACTTTTCGGTACACGGAGAGCTTAGTTCATGTTTTAAGCCTAATAAATTACCTGTTGACAGCCTTCTGCATCAAAATTGAGAAGAAGATCATCTCTTGATCTCCATTAGCCTGAGTAATTATTTCCATAAGTTAGCACCTGAGCATTTGGAACAAAAAGTAATGAAAAATTAATTTGTTTTACCATGAGAAGTTCTCCTTCAGATGAGCAGCAAATTGCACCATTTGAATTTGGGTATGATTTCATAGCTGAATTTATAAAGCCTCTCACTGTCATCTCCTTTAGAAGGGTTAGATCTGGAAGGGATCTGATTATCATGACCTAAATGTGTTAGCTAATGTTTACGGAGGTAGGATACAAAGAATTTAATGTAAAACAGCAAAGGACGCAGAATAAATGCAACAATTACAAATAATGACAAGAATAGATGCTGGTGAATTGGGAAGACAGGCTATTAATAGCTCAACGAATCAGAACCAGATCATTTTAGTGATAGCTGGAGAAACAAATACTCACAGATTGAATATCAAATCTACAATATTTCCATCAGTGTCAATTATTTTCAGCATAATCAAATCAGAAAGAACAAAAAAAAAAGTTTTAAAGGTGTCTTCAAACGTTTTAGGGAGTCATGGCACTGTCAAAGAAACAAACCAATTTCAGGAATTCAAGAGCATCCTATAAAGTTGGGCAATCGGAGCCGTAGTGCTTGGAAGACACCATCAAAGGATGAAACTCATATAGAACCGCAAGTTTCTGGTGGAAAGAAAAGTCATATCGGTTCACATGTTTCTACAAATTCGGTGCATTGACAGTGATGATCCTTGCCGAAATGTATGGCACTTCTTACAGGCAGCCCCATAAGAGTGGAAAATCAGACGTCCTAGCATAATGCAAGTGTCCACCATAATTACACACTATAGATCACTTTGCCTTTCAATGTTTTCCAGAAATTGGGTACTAAGATGCTTGGTCATTTTCTCAAGAAAAACATGGCAGGCCTATCATATAAACCATGATTAGCAGTTTGTACAAGTTTACATTGTAACAGATGAAAAGCCGAGGGGGGTATTGACTCTCTTGCAACCTAAAGTTTCTAAAACAATTTATAGAGAATTTTTTCTTCCTTCTCAAACATAGAAAGGTATCCCCAAGTAAATGTTTATCCGATTGCGGTCTGCGCATGATTAACAACATATTTTTGATTCAGTTTACTAGATCCTTCTAGGCAATCTCTCCATATATATATAGGCTTTCTCTAAATCAATAAATATCATAGGAAGTATTAATAACATTTTATTGTTTATAACAATTTTGTTTACCAAAGGACCAAGGAGCTTCGTTCCTATAACTTGGGATAAAATGAAGAGTTTTTAAAAATATAGATTGACATGAAATTTACCTGCACCTTATAACTCGAAGACCTACAAGTAATTTACTATTCTTAAAACTTCATGATATGTACATATTCTCCCTTACTATCCTACCACCGTTGTAGTTCTTTGAAACAAGAAAAAACATAATATTATTTGAATAAAATTTAGAATTTCTTAATACAGATGCTTGAAGCCGGAAACAAGTCTCATGCATTTAGATAATTGTGCTTAGAGAAATGTTTAATAATTTATTGCCATCAGATCAGCCGTAGGTGATCATCCAACAAAGTTGTGCAATGGAAAGGAACAAATGGGTTTAAGCTTATGCTTGTTCCTTGTGAGGATTTTTGGTTGCTAATCAAGTAATCATGAACAAAAGGAAGAGCTTAGCAATATGAGCAGCTTATTCACTTCATCAGAGACAAGCTCTTTGCAACTTCATGTGGTAGCAACAACCATCTGCAGCCTTCAGTGCTGAAGCACTGTCATTTTATTTAGGATGGTGCTCATTCTTGCAAGGCAATAAACCATTCCAGTATAAGCCCAGACACGATAAATAGTGAGGAAGAATCATAAAAAATTGGTGAAAGGGTATAATTAAAAACTACAGCATAAAGTACGAAGTAAAAAAATTGGGCACAAACACTGGAAAGAAAATGGAACACACACCTTATCTCCAATTTTCCACTGGCAAAGAGAATAGCAAGGCCAATCTCAGAAGAATGGCTAGAAATAACTGAAGTGAAACAGCAAGGGCCACTTAACTTTTTCTTGCAATGCAACTTCTTGATGCCCTGACTCAAAAGCATCAGAGGTACTGGTTAATTTCCACAGTATCCCAGCTATTTAAAAATTGTACACGATACAAAAAGAACATCATCTTCACCTGGACTGCGTGATTCAGGGAATATAGACGCACAGCTTTTTCAGAGCAAAGCAAGATTAATGACTGGTTTATCGTTTTGTCCTTATCAACCTTTCCTTGGTTCAGCTCCTGCAAGTGAGCTGTGCATACTCCATCTGGTGAAATATCTGTTCAGCACAAAACATTACTGTTGGTTCAACCATCTTTGTGGAAGCTCTCTCTCTTTCTCTTCTATCTCTTAGAAGCATAACCATCTTTGTTGGTTGATTATTCAATCAAATCAGCCCGCAAAAGTTTAGTTTCTCATGGGCCAATCGCAATGCTTCAATGTGTTGAACCGTATCAATTTTCAAGGTGAATTTCAGATGTCTTCTTTGTCGAATTTCTTCATTTTTTAGATTTATTTTATTACGTTGAATTGCATTTTTTTTTTTGGGATAATCGGGATAATCTTAAGCTTAAATTCCGATGTTTTAATAGGATCGATTTTAATTTTGGAAAGTATAAGATTTTATTTCAAAATCTTCGACCATATTTTGATAACCTAATTTCAGTAAATAGAGATTAATGGCTTATGTTCAGACCATTGGCTACTAATCATTAATTGAATAAAATTAGTATTGAGGCATAGTTTTAGTATTCTCTCATCGGTTTTATTTTTGACCGCTTTTTTATTGCTTCTTAAAGTAACTTTCTAGTAAAAAAAATTAATTTTTGTACTAAAAAATAGCTTTAAGAAGCAATAAGATAGCAGTCTCAAATGAAGCCTTAGTCCAAATTGTTTATGTGGATATCAACAAGTTGTGTAAGTGAATTTCTCTCTTTTTTTCTTCCCATTTCTAACTCCCTTTTTCAATGCGCGCGCACACACGACTTTTCTAGAGAAGAAGCGTTCATTTTCTCTTATTTCGTTCAGAAGAAAAAATATGGAGTAATTAAACAGGAATCAAGAAAGTGCTCACCTAATATCTGCATTAGTAAACATCTAGATGGTTTTTTGGTGTGTATTCCATTGCTGCTCAAATCATTTCCCGTATCCGCTTCAACAGCTATGACTGAGGAGTCTTCTGTGGCTATCAACAAAACATTCTTGATATAACCATTATGGTTGCAGTTCTCAAACTGCAAAGAAATGGTGCCAGTATATATCTGAGTCGGGAATTGCTTTTGGTATAAAATAGACGCCCCTTTTATGTCAAAAACATATACCTGTATGGTACAATAGATAAACTTAGTATGGTAGGCTCAATTCTTAGAAAATTATATTAAGTTTCTGAAAGAAAATGATCCAGTAAATAATACTCATTAAAATATCATTGAAAATGATGAGGACATCGTCAGAGATTGCGACACATGTACCATCAGGAGATGCCGGAGATCGACGGCGACGATCATGATCTTTATTTTCATCAGTTTATGTAGTAGTTTACTTGTTTTTTTATGTTTTTCCGTTTTTACCCTTATGGGTATTTGGTCGTTATTGTAGCCCGAGGGGCATTTTAGTCTTTTGCTTTCTTGTCATTTTGAGGCCTATTTAGATGGCCCTTTTCTTATGTAATAGCTTAGTTTTTGATGAATGAAAATTATTTGCCACTTATGATCTCTTTGTGAGTTCACCCTCATCGACCTCTTAGTGAGTTCGCAGGAGAAGCTAGATCTCTTTGTGAGTTCTAGATCTTCTTGTTCTACCATTTTTTCTCCTTTATTTCTTGTGATCGATTCGTCGTCGTGGAGATCCGGTTGAAGCATTTGTGAAAAGTGGAATCCACGCTTGAATCCCAAGATTATCCCCTACTGATTGCCCTCTCTTGCTCACTGCCGCCGCCCCTCCCTGGTTTGCCCAGGCCGCCGGCCTACAGCCCAATCCGCCGGCCAGCAGCCACCGGCCAGCCCAACCCGCCAGCCAGCCCACCAGCCCTCTTCCCCCCCTTCCTGCCGCCGCCTCTTGCCCCTCCTTTGAATTTCAAAATTGAGATTCAAATGGTTAGGAGTCATTAATTGTTTCCTAAATTGCTTCCCTAAATCGTGCCCTCAATTTAATTGGATTTTAAATTTCGAATTTGAAATTCGAATTTAATCTAATTGAATGTCTTTAATTTAGGAAACTCCTCTTTAAAAAACTGAAATTTAATTTCAGATTTTTGTTAAAACTGAAATTAAGATTGTGGTCCCCACTCAATTGAAACTCAAGCCTCTCTCTCTCTCCATATGGCCGGCCACCTCACCCTTATTACTCCCCTCTCTAATTGCCACCTCATCACCATTTAAACACCTCTTAATTACCTCCCTAATACCTCCCCTATCCAACGTAATTACAGTTTTTATTTCAGATTTCTAATCTGAAATTTGAAATCAAGTATTCCCTTTCACCTCCATCTCCCCAAGTCCCGCCCAAGGTCCAAACAGCCTCTGTCCCGACGCTCTGCTTGCTGTCTCCTTACGCCAGCAGGAATATCTTGCTGTCTAGCACACTGGACGACCACAATTTGATGTCCCGAGTTTCCAGTAGCCTAGAAGAGCCATCCAACGTCTCTTGCACCTTAAAGGTTGCTGTCCAAGATCTGTCCAAGACCAAACTGCTGTTGTTCAGGGAAATTCGGCATCTCTTCCGGCTGTCCAGCCAGTCGGGAGAGCTTCGGATGTTGTCCTAAAGTTTTCGATTGCTGTCTACCACATCAAGAAGGGTTTTGGTTGCCGTCTACTTCATCTCAAGCACCCAAACAGCCACACCTTTGGCGAGGATGCATGGCGGACCCCGAACTTGAATGGAACTTCGGATTCATATATGACGAGCGAGATGATCATTAACGGCCACCCACCCGCTCCTCCAAATCCGGCTTCTTCCCCGGCGACGAGTCCTCGCGAGATCACTTGTCTACTAGTGGCATCGCTAAGTCTACTTACGATTCTCCTCCGCTAGCCACCACTTTCAAAACGAGTGACAGACCTCAAGGTGAATGATCTAAATTTTAAACGTGTGGCTTTAGTAGTAGCTATTTGCATTATCTAGTTTGTTTTGGCTATCTTTTGCAAGACTCTTGTAATTCTTAAATCTAATCACTGCCGTTAACTTAATCTACCACGAATTTTCTTGAATCCAACTTGAGTAAGCTAGATTTTATCGTTAACATTGCAAAGTTAAACTCTCATTAATCTCTAACGTGCAATTCATGTTTCACCGCATGTTGTTTCACATCAGAAAACTTCCTGTTATTTAAGTCAAAAACCAGCTTATCAGCTCAGGTAAAGCTCACTATACTTAAAACTCCTTTCAAGGAATTGACAATAAAAATGAATTCCTGGTAAAGTTGGAACGTCTGGTCGCCGGAGTTACAATGGGCTTGGCTCGCCGGAGGAGGTTGGGAGTCGAATTTGGGACACCAACTAGGGAGATTTAATCACCAAAGAAAGGAGGAAACATAGACGAGCTTAGCAGCCCGTTGGAAAAGAAGAGTGTTGGTGATGAAGAATAGACTTTATTTAAGAGCAGGTTTTTCAAAAAAAAAAATAATGAATTTTGTTTAAAGCAGCTAGCAAATTTCTCAAAAAATAGTTGGCAACTGCAGGATTGCATTAATTGTTTTAAATATAATTAAGTTTTAAGTTTTAGGGCTGCTTTTAGAGAAATTATATATTTTAAAATAATCTAACTTATTGTATTTTTTCTAATATCAACCTAATCGAGCGGACCTAGCGAGCCGATAACCAAGGAGCCGAGTCTCATCAAGCTCGAACTTGAGCTCTTTTAATATTTGAGCTCGAAGCTCAACTCGCAAGCTCATTACCGAGTCGAGTTCAAGCCGGCTCGGCACACTTACACCCCTAAGTGGAAATAATATCTATCCGGGTTGTCCACTTCTATCACGGCTCATGATTGCCTGGAAAAGGAGGGGGAGGGGGATAAATGAGGCGTAACATCACGTTCGAATACAATTTACAATAATTACAACTAAACTTCAACATGAATTTATGGCCATAATTTTTTACATTTTTTTTTCAAGAAATATGTTATTTTTCGGCAATTGTATGCCAAAAAGCTGAAGTTACTGATGCATCATTTTGATTGTTACAAGTTGGCTAAAAGGGTATTGGTGCATTATTCTCCTGCCAGAGCAAGTTTGAGTAAAAGTAATTATATAAGCCTTAGTAGAGGTTATTTTCATGATTCAAGCCGGCGACTTCCTATTCACAATAGAGAAACCTAGCCATTGCTCTTGGGCCTATCCAAAAAAACTGCTGAAGAGAACCTTTTCAATTCCAAATATCATAATGCTGAGCTCTGGGTAGTCTGGTAGTTAAATTGCTTGCAAACATGTCTAAGGTTTGAAGCTTGGCACGGTTAAAACCGCATAACTTTGAGTTTACTCTCTAGAAATTTCCAAGACAGTATTGCATTTTATGCATTAAAATGGACAAAATACAGAAATGAGTACAAAAACATACATTGCATTTTATGCATTAAAATGGACAAATACGGAAATGAGTACAAAAACATACATATCCTTTGTCAGTTCCAACTGCAACATGCTTGGATTCAGTATTGACGCCAAGCGATAATATAGTTCCTTTAAGCTTAATAGTCTGAATGATGTAGTTGGCCCCTAGCTTTGCTGCCACATCATTGAAAAAAGTTCATTATAAACAAAAACATAACAAATGGAAAGGTCAACACACTGGAAAGCAGAAAGATAGTGTTCCTGATAAAGTTGGCTGCACCTTTCATTTATGAACTATTCATGGTAATAAGAAAATGCCATAATAGAAACTGCAAAATTATTCAGGATATTAGAGATTAAGGAGCTGACGAGCTGTTTAGTTGGAAGTATTTAGAATTCAGAGATATTTTAAATGCATTATAAAGTAAAAATAATGCATATAAAATTCAATAAATCAAAATTTTTTATGTTTCATTAGAACTAATAAAACAAATCTAAAAATAAAAATAATTATTATTATTATTTTCTTGTGACAAAGGGGCATGAAATATGTGAACTAGGGCATGAGAAAGATGGGTCTCATGATAGGATTTCAACGTGGACAAAAAGGTAGATGCCGGGTCGCGGGGTCATGAATAGCGATTGGGTGAGCAATGACCTGTTGAAGTAGGTGCAAGGTATAGAGGCACCGATGGTGTCAGGAGCAGAGCCTGAGGCATTGTCAGGTGTAGAGGCGGAGATTACAACTATTCACAGTATTTCTCAAAGCGTAGTTCGCACATGGTGTATTTTGAAAGCACAAGTGATTTTGGAATACACCGAAAATAAGAAATATGTACTTTTCAAATCCCTCAAAATAACACTTCAGATTTTCTTCAAACCCAACCAAATACCCTAAAATTAAAACCCAACACTCCCAATCAAAATGCCCCTATAGGAGGCCAAGAGCCAAAATTAGAATGTGAAATTGCTGTTATTTGGCATTACTAAATACCAAAATACAATGGAAAACTAAGCAATACTAAAAACCATAGCATATGACAGGAAATAAAGTGATGTCTCCTGAAAAATATGAGTCATGAACATTTTGAAACGAAAATTAAACGCCAAAAAGAATCTTTGATAAATATGCCTACCCATTACAAATAGCAATGAAAGGCCCAATCAAATTTTAGATGGAATGCAACTACAATCACAAAATTTCTCGATGCAGAAGTCAAGTGCAAGTCACAAGATGCCTACTATAATTATTACCATCGAAAGTTTAAAGGAAGCTTATTAATTAAATATATAAGGACCAAAATATGTGGATGTAGGATATTTTGTTTGATCTGGATAATTAAATGGTTCCCATCCTTATTAATGGATATACTTTTTAGTTTTTGAAGCCCATAAAGATGCTGAAAAAGAAAAGGCAATTTTGAGAAGAACATGCACCACCAAGATATACTGTATCTAATAGTTGGCAATAAGTAAATGGTTCATAAATAATTGATAAACAAAAAGATGTTTATGTTGGTTGAGGATATTAATCTGGTTTCATCTCGCAGATCTGTATCAATTGTTGCTCGCCGTATCCTTCTCTCCGAAAAGTTATGTTGAATCTCACTAAAAGAGAATTTGGCAATTTGTGAATAACAGCGTATGCTCACAATGTTGGGACTAAAATAATCATCCTTCAGATAACAATATTCAAGTTGATCATAAGGAGTAAAGTAAATTGCCAATTAGCTCATTAATTTCTTTTCCAAATGGTTAATTTTAGACTAATAACCCAAATATCAGTTGAGAAGATTCACTAGGAACGCAAACCTGTGCTTATAGCAAACAAATGCTGTAAATTGACAATATTATAATGCACTCATACAAAAATTCATTCCTTTCAATATATTAATATTGAAGTAATACAAAGCATCAAGGTAATCCATTTACAATCTTTTAATTAAAATTTATAAAAGAGAAAAATATCTTTCTGCATCTGCACTTTTTAAAGAGTACCTTGAAGAAACGAAAACATATTGTCTGAGGAAAGTTGCTCTTTTTTGAAAGAAATGATGCGAACCTGAAATATTGGAAAGCGTAAGAAACAAAAGAATGACAACCGTCAATAAATTGTTTACAAGATTCAATGCTCACCAAACCACTCTGATCTCCACAAATAAGAATTTGGGACAAGAAATCAAAATGGAGTGCCGTCACAGAAGAATTACTTGAAGCATTCCCTTCCTCACTTTGCTTATAAAATTTAAAACACATAAAAAAGTGAAGTAAGAAGTAAATAACTTAATAATTAAATGACTTGCTGAGAATTGAAACACAGCTCTAGTCAAACCAACAAGGTCAAAAAACTATAAATGCATTCACATATAACATACCTGGGGTTTAATTGTTAGCATAAGAAGAAGAACCGGGAATGAAGCATCCCAAAAATTTATGGCTCCATCCATATGTCCAGTAATGTATAACCTTCTAGTCTTTGCAAACCCTTCAAAGCGGGTACTTACATGTACCAAATTTTCCCTCTTATCAGCTGAGAGGAAGTGCGAAAACTTGTTGGCCAAGAAAAGATTATCCTGAAAAGCAAGAAGCTCAGGAACAGGAAGTTTAACTTGATAAAGAGAAGAAATGTGTTGACTTCATATTAAGCACCTCTTCAGTAGGACCTGAAGATGACAAGAAACCTCCATAAAGTTTTGAAGCAGTGATCCTCGACTCATAATAAGGAAGCTTCACAATTGTATGGTTTGGAAGTGATGGAGTTGATTTAGATTGGCATTTCAGAAGAGAATTCTCAATTTCTGAGTCACTATAAAGACATAGGTGGCCCGATTTCAATAAAAGAACAAGGGAATCTTTCTTTTGTTTGTTGCCATCATTGTAACTTGAAATAATTTCCATCCCTAGACATGGTTCAGTTAGAGGAAGCGACAATTTGATAGTTCGGGATTCAGAGTTATCATTAAGAATTATAACCTATACAATGAAACCAAATCCTCAGTTGAAATAACAACCAAGAAACATATTAAATAAAATATCACGACAATATTCCATATAAAGTTGGTACTTCCTGTTTAAAAAATATATATATAGCATACTCGAAAATTGGGGAACAATATATATATTACTGGAAAAGCTTTATCGGTCCCTAATATTAAATTGAAGCATGATTATGAAAACACAAAAAATTATTAGGCCATAGGATTTCTGGAGTCAGTACATGCATAGTCATGATACAGCCAAAAAGGCTTACAGTGGATTAAATTGATGCTAAAAAAGGTTTGAATGGATTGTTCATTTATTCCTTGAAAAAGACACATTTTGGAAGCCCAGCCAAGACAATGCAACACGGATTTCCAAAAATTTTAAATGATTTATTTATTAAAATAATATTAACCGAAAAGAAAAAGTTCAATCACATAAAAAGCTGGTATTGTAATTTTTATTTATCCAGCACTGCAATAATTCAGCAACCATGTTGATTAAATAGTAAGGTAAGAAAGAGAACAGTTCAAAGGCTACTGAATCACAAAAATTTAAAATACAGAACTAATTACCTGAAATGAGGAATTTCCTAACTCAGAGAAACCATTGATGTAAAGATGGCTGGCCTTGCCATCGGAAACAACCCACCTCAGAGAGGTAATAGGAATCTTGTCCATCTTGTAACCGAGATTAAGCTTCAAAAAAGGAATATTTGGAGCAGCATGAATCTCTTTTTTGTTCAACATTGTACCATGCTTCTCTGAAATCACTGGTATGGCCCAGAGAAAAAGATCTCCATTGCTATATCCTATAGCAACCTTGCTACCAAACGTACAAGTCCAACAAGCTGACATCACCGCTCGAGATTCATAGTTTGAAGAAAGTGCCACACTTCCACAAGTAAACAATGTCTTACTTTCTTGAATCCCCCATAAACTTAGAAGTCCATCTCTAAAAACTATAAGAACCCTGCTGCAAAGTATTTTACACTTGAATTGGTAAGGATAAATTCCTAAATGTATAAAAAAGATAAGAATTTCAAAAAGACATCAAGATAGAAGTATAAACAATATCTTACTTCCCTTTTAATTGTATGAATTCCGTCATTTTTAGTATGAGTATGTAACAATACTAATATGATGGAGGTGATGGTAATATAGTGCAAGGAAGAAGGGATAATAGTTCAAGTTGGAGCAAGATAGCAAACCATCCACCAAAGAGAGAATTTCCCCATGTGAGAACACAATCTAAACTTATTTGGTGCTTGAAGTAACGATAATGTATGATCTTTCGTAAAATCACCTTAGGCTACTTTTTCTACTATCATCGTATCTTTTCAAATAGCTTGTCACTTCCCTATCCTTATAGTATTTGCCGTTACAATTCTCATTCCATGTTTTGGAGAGAGAGAGAGAGAAAACGGTATAGCTCAAGCTCTTAAATATATAATATATATATATATATATGATATAGAGAGAGAGAAGAGAGAGAGAGAGATGCTGCTTCCATTTAACATAAGGCTACCAATCAATTGCAAATAAAATCAGCATCGAAAATTAAAACACATCCCTAAACGATTCATCCTGACGATGGCCATGCCAAAGCTAAATCCTAATCAAATGAATCACAGCTGTAGTTTTTGTGGCCTTCATACCAAGAAGTTATGCACCCATCTAAAATATCAATAAGAGGCTATCAATCAACAGTAACATGCCAGAAGTATACTACAGACAACCAAAACTTAATATCTCAATGAGGGGCACAACAACATATCATCCTAATCAAAGGGATTGTCACCATTTTTGCAGCTCTTCAAGCCTAACAATAAGTGTCAACACCCTAGCTTGAAGCCTTAACACACATCAATCACCCGCTTCTTTATAATGACCACACCAAAATCAAAGCTCTACCAAAGAGAACCTCCATGACGTCCACAACCAATGTAAAGCCACTGACATATCAAATCCAACCTGATGCAGTCAAGAGTTAGCATTTTATGTTTTCTTTATTTTCTACTTGTTATTCTAGCTTTATTTCTCCAATGACTTTTTAGTTTTTTCTGTTGACCCTTTGTTTTCCATGTTGGCCCCTCGGTTTCCCAACTATCTCTCAGTTTCCCTAATGTCCACTCATTTTTTCTGCTGTCTTCTCGTATACCTGCAACTGTTTGGTCTTTCCTAAGTGTTGCTGTCTTTCTCTATGTTGGTTGTTTATCCCTATGTTGTTGTCCTGTTGTTTTTTTGTTGTTGGCTGCTCGGTTTCCTCTTTATTGATTCCTATGCAGGAGGCTTTAAATGTGGGTTGTTTTGGTGATTTTTAGTAGTTGTTTTGGGGGCACGTTTATGTGATCTATTAAATTTTATTCCATCTTATTTCTCCTATAAATTGAGACCGATTTTCTTTGTGAAAGAGACTTTGAAAAAAATTTTGAATGTCATCATCCAAAACCTGCGAGTTTTTCTGGCTCATGAGCTAACTTCTTCTCTAAACGGTTTTCATTCCAATTATATCTTTCTTCTCTAAAACTATTGTAAGTTTTAAGTTGTAAAGTATCTTGTTCTATTATAAATTGTAAGTGATTTTAGTACTGCTTTATTGTTGTGTTTGTTTGTGTTATTTAAGGTTTATGTGAATGAAAAAAGAAGTGTATTTTTATTTGCAATCCTAGAGCAAAGTTTGTTTTTAGGTTGCATCAATTTTGGTATAAGAGCTTTAGGTTATCGTGTGAGTCTTCCCTTTTCTTTTAAAAAAAAAGGACAACCATCAACAAGCCGAAGTTCCAATTCAAGAAGTAATTGAGTCTGTTGTTTGTGAAAGTCAGCCATCTATTCAACTAATTTCATATAATAACTTTCTATCAATAGAATGGGTTCCGCCTCAAGCAATTTCTGCACATCCAATTCAAAATTAAATACTCAAAGTGTAAAGACAATAATATTTATGTACTGAGAAGTATAAAAACAATAAATTGCTACTTTGGTCAGAGTTTGAACAAGAAAAAGAGAAGATAATAAGAATAGAACATTCTACTGAAGGATGCTGAGAGGGAGTATTTTCATGCAAAAAAGATAAAGATTCTGAAAAAATTTCGAAAGATTGTTTTGCACAAAGTTGTTGCAAATGAAGATGAACCAACTGATGATCTTGTTGAAGATGTTGTAAACATTCGTACTATCCAGACAAGACAAGGCGTGCACTGAGGTTTCTTGGTTAAATGGAGGGGGCATCCTTTGTCTGATTGTTCTTGGGTTGAAGCTAAAGAGTTGCATATTCTTTGTCCTGATATCTACCAGTGCGTTACTGAAGCTTTCTCATTAGGAGATGAGATTCTTCCACCATAGGAGAATTGATGCAGTCAAGAGTTATCATTTTATGTTTTCTTTATTTTCTACTTGTGTTGCTAGCTTTCTTTCGCCAGTGGCTTTTTAGTTTTTTCCATTGACTTTTGTTTTCCCTGTTGGCCCCTCGGTTTCCCAGCTATCTCTCAATTTTCATGTTGTCCACTCATTTTCTCTTTTGTCTTCTAGTATACATTCTATTGTTTAGTCTTCCCTAAGTGCTGCTAGCTTTCCCTATGCTGGCCATTTTTCCCCATGCTGCTGTCATGTTTGTTTTCCTACTGTTGGCTGCTAGTTTTTCCTGTTGTGACTACTCATTTTTCCTATTGTGGCTACTCGATTTCCTCTTTGCTAATTCCTATGCAGGAGGCTTTAAATGTGGGTTGTTTTGGTGGTTTTAGTGGATATTTTGGGTTATGTGATCTATTAAATGTTATTCCCTCTTATTTCTCTTATAAATTGGGGCAGATTTTCTCGGTGAGAGAGAGACTGAAGAATTTTTTGAATGTGATCATTCAAAACCTGCAGGTTTTTCTAGCTTGCGAGCTAACTTCTTCTCTCTATCCTTCTTATATTTTGTCTCGGACTTCTATCTATTCTTCACTCTACGGTTTTCATTCCACCAGTATCTTTCTTCTTTAAAACTATTATAAATTTTAAGTTGTGTCGTGTCTTGTTCTATTATAAGTTATAAGTGACGTTAGTACTGCTTTATTATTGTGTTTTGTGTTATTTAAGGTTTATGTGAATGAAAAAAGAAGTGTGTTTTTATTTGCATTCCTAGAGCAAAGTTTGTTTTTAGGTTGCATCACAACCCCTACAAAATAATAAAAGGCATAAAAGATAAAATTCTCGTAATAATCAATCACTTCATTTTTAGAGCTTTCATTCATCTACCCTCTACACTAGTTTACGAAGAGTAGCAAATCATAATTTAAATAATGCTCACAAAAAGATGGTGTCGCATTCAGTGTGTCCATATAATAACACTCAAAAATCTCAAACAAATGAGAATGTAAAAAGCTCCTTCAAATCATGTGGTCATGGCTAAAATGTACTTGTGAACACCGGTAAGTGGAAGACCGATCAAGAACTAAAGCTAACCAATATCTAAGTCTATGAGTTGTGAGCTACACAATACACTCGATAAATATAATTTTTCTAGCCAAGGTTGGCCTTAAAATTTTTCCATGAAGATAGGTTTCCTTAAGCTACAAGGTCCCCTTGGATGAAAAAAATCATAGCTAATGAAAAAGATCCCCTAGTTAGATTTGATCAATCACCTCTTTTGAATAATTAAATTAGGATCCATAGCATTATGGGATGATAGAACCATGGGATCGTGATCACATTTACCATCATTACCCTATCATCAGTTTTAAAAACATGCAAGAATCTTTCTATCCCTAACTATTTCGACATGTAACCAGATGAAAATCCATAACAATGAACCAATGTATAACTAACAAATTTCCTTGGTAAAAATCCTCCACATTTGAAGGGTCCTATGCCTATGGGAAGCCTTAAGACTAGAAATATAAATCATTAATGAGGTCAAAATCTCTGAAAAAGTGTTTTATCTACACCATCCAATCTGCCTTATAAAAATTCATTCGAAATAAAAATAGTTTTTAATAAAATAAATCTAGGCGGGGATCATTCAATGCATACAATTACTTTGTGCATTTCTCATAAAAATGATGAAGTTTAGTTATAATGATAAATTCATGGCTTTTGTAAACTTTTGTAAATTAAAATGCATTGATGCAAATAAAGGTGTTGATAATTAGAATGCAAGATGAAAGAGTGCTTGCAAGCTTTTCAACCTTGGTTTCATGGTCCTCGCCAAAAGATTGACTTTTATTTTTGTTTTCTTGACTTGGCTTCAAATATTGGCATATTCAGATTACCCGATTCAATGAAAAATTGATCCATTGTATCCCTACTAATTTGGGGTTGACACTATGATTATTGTTCTCAATTAACTTCTATAACTATCATTAGTTCTTAAATTATGCAAGCCTTTGATTAAGATTTGTTTGACATGAAGGTGATTGAGAGAAAAAGCAATCCCAAAATTGAGAAGACATGGAAAATATTCTAAATGTGAGGCTTTCCTCGAGATATGAAAAACATGTAATTACATGTCAATACTTTACATGCATTCATAGAAATTTAAGCTGACTAGATCATTTAACTCATTTATTTTACAATAAGATTTTCATATGGATGTCAACGAGGGTGTGTCCATCACTTATCCATGCAACCATGTTTGTGTGTCCATCAATTATCCATGCAACCATGCTTGAGTATGTCCGCTTGTGTGTGTGCTACACTGTAATAGCCCGTATTTTGACTCCAGGAAAAAATTATTTGTCTGGGTCAAAATACGGGCTATTACACACATTGCGTATTGACCAACAATTTGTTATTTTTCATGAATGACTGAAAGTGGAAGAAGTTTTAAGGTTGAGAGAAAAGGATATCTGACCTCCTCGTCTCAGCCATAGGCTGTGGCAAGATATGTGCAATTGGAATTTGATCACCACTTTCAATAACATTACCTGAAAAATGATAAACTAAAAGTTGTAAGTTGAAATGATGGGATAAGAACTAAAGAATTATATTTACTTGCTCTTATAAATCGACAGGAAGTAAGATTATTTTTTTGTTTACTACAAGCATAGGCATTAAATAGAAATAAATGCTTTCTTAATTTAGCAGGATATCCAGAGACATTCATAGTGCTAATAAAATCATAAAGTAACCACATTATGCACTACGTATCCAGTTAAATTTAAACAGCATTGATTGTCATTTAATGTCTATTCCTATAGTAAACATGAGAACCATATATATACTTCCTTTCCAAATAAAAGAGCAATGAAATTTAGTTCTGCAGATAGCAGTAACTTATAAAATAGTTCATGAAGTGCAGGAATTCTGTGGGAATGAAGGTTTACCATAAGACTCCATAAAAGGAATTCTGTATTGCATGCGAAGTAATTTTCGCTCTCTCTGGTCAAGCTTCAAGATTGAAATATCCCCAATAGAAGTCCCAACATACCTATGTGAGTTATGGTTAATAAAGATAAATTGATAGCATCCAAGGCAGCATAGACAAAAATGATAAGCATAGGATTACTTACATGTACAAAGACCGTTGTATAATAGAAAATGATGTTATTTCTTCATTGAACATATAAATATGACATAGTTGTTGAACATCAACATCCCACACCTAAACAAAGCATATTTTTGCAATGTCATGTAGTCAAATATATAAAGAAACATGAACACCAAGGACAAGATCTACTGCGTATGACACGAAAACAGCTTAAATTCCCAAATCAGATATTTAGAAAAAAATAATAATAAACTTACTTTTTCAAAAACAAAGAATAAATTGCAAGGAGAAGTTTACAGAAATGTAAGAGTAAAAAGGACCAGACAGAAGGAAGTATAATATGCACTAGCAAAGTATGAGAAAGTCATCAATCAAACATGAAAGCAATACAAGTAAAACATGCTATAGCAAGTAAGACTGTAAAAATGAACTGTTAGTAATTAAAAAAGTGCTGCTAGAAATCGTGTCAGATACATCTTGATGATTGTTGAATTAATTAATTATGTAATAGACCAAAACTCAAAAAGAAAATGCTGTTTGCATTCCAAAATAGTGAAAGTAAAGCAAAGAATGATCGAAAATTGTGATAACACCAAAGAAAACTTACCTCGATGTTATTATTAGTATTCACGTTTAAGAGAATGCCTTGATTTTCAAGAAACTGCATTGACCAAAAAAAGGTTCTAAATGAGATTAAAGGAAAAAAAAATCTTAACTTCAGTTGTACAAGTGAAATAATATATCCCATAAAAATATAAGAAAATTTCAGACAATGGCGCCAGGATACTACTTATCATACTGCCATGTGAAATAACAAATGCATTCTGCATTGAGTCCTTCCAATTCATATTTAACATATACCAGTGTGATTGGCAACAACATGGACCGCTTACTTGCAAAATAGAATGGTTAAATGAAGAACTTCATATAATAAGTTATATATCTAGTAAAACAAACCACCAAAAGATGTCATCTAAGACTTTACATAAGTAGTATAAAAGACCATATAGAGATATCCAATAAAATCAGCATTTCACATGTAATTAACCTTAATAGTTTTCAGCATTAAAGATTTACATGACGCTCTGGCAGTTCATTACAGTGCAACCCATTAAACCACTCTTTTCAAGCAAAATCAGATCTGACTATATCTCTGCTGTTAGATCAGTAGTTACTACAGACAAATTCAGAGTACGCCTTGAACTGAACTTAACAACGTCATTGCTTGGAACTTCAAGTTTCTCATATTCATACAAGTATTGGTATAAAGGAGAAAAGAAATACATACGTCAAATCAAAACCAAGAAAAAAATATGAACATAAAACGTATCTTCTCTCTCAAAAAATGCAGAAGAACCTAATTTTCTTTAGAAGGAACAGTCACATTTCTTGTAAGTTGATGGTATACTATGTGCCAGGAAAAATATAGAATAAGTTGTGGCCTATCAAACTAAATGTAGAAAATGGGCTAATATTAACCAGTATGATTGATATGTATGATTTACTACCAACACCAGAATCCTGGATCGGCCATTGATCATAACCCTAGACATTTTAGCTAGGCAAAAGAGCGGGGAAAAAATGCACGATGAAGAGCGTCAAGCCGAGTTAAATACCTGCAAGAATTTGCTGGGAACGGCCTCATCCGACTGGAGCAGTGCTTGGGTATTCTCTCTTCCAAACAATTTAATACGGCCATCGCTGCAATTAATAACATGAAAGTTAGAAGATGATCTCGAATTCGACCTAAGCTCTAGAGCAGAAATAAGCAGCAGCGAAGTTAAACGATCACTTGGTAGCAATGGCAAGAATTTGCTGGGTGGAGTCGTAAGCCATGGAGGAGGATCCCGACGGGATGCCATAGTGGAACGCGATGTGAGGATTCAAGTCCTCTGCTCTGAGACCGTTGATGTTATTGCCTGCGTGCTGAAACCCAGAATATCAAGAAGTATTAATAGCAAGATAAAAGCACACGATTAGCAGCTGTACGAAACCCGATCTCCCCGACACTCTCAAAGCCCTTCGATCATTTTTTTTTCTTAGATTTAATTGTACGTAAAAAAATTATATTTAACTGTAGGTAAATATTAATTCAATCTTCAATCATTTTTAATTTCTTAGGATAAATTTTTAATCATATAAGAATAAATATAATAATACATATATATATATGAACACACACCAGCATCTAGCACAACATTATCCTCCCTAGATAGAACAGGGGCATTCAAATCTGGCTTCCTGCCAGGGGATAAAACAGTACCAGCACCCATAAGATTACCAACTTGAACACACTCATACTTTTTCAGTCATTCACCTCCACATTCTATATGAATAATTATTAGGTTAACTTGTACGATGTCACCCAGCCCTTATCATTTCTCATAGATAATTTCCAAATATATATTGAATAGTGATGATTAGCATCCATTAGCAGGGGCGGAACCAGCTTCAATTTTGAGGGGGGCAAGTACAATACATAAGTTATTTAAAAAAATTAAGCAAGAAAAATAAAGAAAAAAAAGTGTAATTAAATTGTCATGAAAAACACGAAATAAAATATTAGAACTAAATTTGAAGAAATATATAGACATTTTATGACAAGTTAGGACAAAAGAGTATTTTAGGGGGGGCAAAAGTCATTTTTTAGGAGGGGCAAAAAAAATTTCTCTAACAATTGACTAGAAATATATAAATTTTTTTTTTCTTTCCTATAAAAAAAAAATTTTTTTTTGAGGGGGGGCAATTGCCCCCCCTAAGCCTTAAGTGGTTCCGCCACTGTCCATTAGCCACCAATATTTGTCACATACCTTCTAGTTAATCGAATTTCCCCACCTATAAGGTGGACGACATAGCGATGCCATTCTGACATTGCCCAACCTTTAATATTCCTAGTCAATTGTCGCCCAACACATACTAAAAGTGGCATCTAACATTCGTTAGTCAAACACAAGCCTTGTCAGTCAAATTGTATGCTACCTTATAAGGAGAACAACTAAAATCACCCAATAATTTTTAACTTGCAATATTCCTAGTCAATTATTATATGATGCGCCTAACAATGACACCCGACAATTGTCAATCATCGATGTTAAAACATATTGTTAATATTTTTTCTAGCTATTAGAATGACATATTTTATAAAATTAGACTGATACTTGTTGCGTCTTGGAATATTCGTGGCGGTAGAGAAAGGTAAAGTTTAGCATCCTAGTTTTATCCAAAGATCCATCACATAAACCAATAAAAGAGTATGGTGCAATACTTATAAGAGACACCAAGATTTTTATGTGAAAACCCTTGAAAAGGTAAAAAATTACGAGGCCCGGCAAAATTTGAATGAATCTACTAGTATCGATGGTTGATTACAAATAATACCCCTCCTTAGAGAACGGAGCTGGCCAAATGTAGCAAATACACTTGTATATAGTGCATTACATATCATCAGTTCTAAAGAGAATGTTGACATATATATTTTGTCAGTAGGGCTGTAGTCGGCGAACGATGATATTCGAAAAAAATAAAACAGTCGGGCGACGATGGTCGGAAGGACCGTAGTTTGAGGAAAATGGTGGTAGGAAGGATCTTAGTTGGGGCGACGATGGTCAGAAGGACTGTAATCGAGGAGACAGTGGTCAGAATGAACGTAATCGGCAGGCGACGATGGTCAGAAGGATTGTAGTCGGCAGACGATTAAGGTCGGAAGGGCTGTAGTCGGCGGGGTCATAATTGGGCAATGCTAACTTATTCCTTACCTTAATGTCAGGGAGAAGACATTATTTTGGGAGATTTGCAAACTTCATAAGATTGGCCCCCTTGATGTAGATTAAATAATAGAAAATGTTCCATCAATGTCTGACGATGGCTGGAAATGAAGTAATAATTAGTCTTTGGGCAGATGTCTTTAAATATTTTGTTGTTGAGAAAATATCTAACAACAACCAGAATAACCGAAAGTCCGACGACGGTTAGTGATTGGAGTCTGACGACGGTCGGTGGTCGGCAAGAGATATAGTTGATGGTGCATGTTTGAAAGGACAGAGAGATTCTTTATTTTTCTTCTCTTCTTCCACCTCCCTTTGTAAAGAATAATGGGTTTATTTATAATTTTTTTGGAGTGACATGACTAGTGAAAAGAGAGAAGTTTGAGGGCATATTGGGAGTGTTTTAATGGACGGTCGATATTAACTCCCTCGATCATGAATCATTTATCAAGCATTTAAGTGTCTTAAATATGCTAGAATACTGTGATCGACGATCTTGGGCTCGTTGGATTTGTCTCGTCAAGCAGCTCAATTCGACTATAAGCATGTTCTATTTGGATATCATTTGATCATTCAATTAATGTTCTAAAGCTTCCAAATGGGCTTCGGGCCATTGATTTGGACCTATTGGGTTTGGATTGGACAAAATTTGGTATCGTTGGGTTCGTCCCTTCGAGATATTCAGTTTGATTATAAGTTTACTGAAATCGGAGTTTGGATGGTCATGTATTTAATTTTGAAAATTTCTGATTCATATTTGCATTAAGATTCGTGCCCGATCAAGCTAATTTTTTGATGGCGTAACAATACATATTGAAAATTTATTTTCAATGGGCTAGGCCCCTAGTTTTTTCCCCAATTTTTCATGTAAAATATCTCATGTCTTCTATGAGCTACTCTCAAATTAAATGTCCATATATGAGTGACAATTTAGTTCAAAAATGATTTTCTACAGTTGTTTTACATTCAACTAAACAAATATGATTAATTTAAATATATTATTGTTGCGTCCTGGAATATTCGCGGCGGTAGAGAAATATATAGTTTTCCCCAATTTTTCATGTAAAAGATCTCATGTTTTCTATGAGCTACTCTCAAATTAAATGTCCATATGTAAGTCAAAGTTAGTTCAAATGATGAATTTCAACCTTTGTTTTACATTCAACTAAACAAATATGACTAATTTAAATATATTATATTTTAAAATCTATAAGCATTCCATAGATTAGCAATCAAACAGCCCCTTAGTTAAATCCTGAGGAACTTTCACAACAATAAACAATTCAGCATTTCTTAAAATGCAAAAATTACTATTTAGACGAGATCAAAGGGACCCAATCCATGGAATTCAGAATCACTTGAGCCTGCCATTTGTAAGAGTAAAATCATAACCGGACAACCAGTCCAGTCCATGTTTGATCTTATTCAAGTCAGGACAGATCATAGATGACATGTGGATAGGCGCAGGTCAAGACTCATTCAGCCAATAACATCCTTATTTTATATGCTTGCAGCACATGAATTACTAAATGCAATTCTTGGGATCCAACAAACCGAAAATTACTTGTCATTCCCCTTACTACGAAAATCACTGTGCGGAAGCCGAATCCTATCTGGATACCTAAGCCCGCGGCTCAGTATCACTGACGTGGCTCATTGTGATTGATATCCGGATATTAAGTTGGATTCGGCGTCAGCACAGAATAATCTCTTAAAGTAATGAAGCTATTTAGTACTATGATGTATATATACATAAATTATAAAGTATTTAGTACCTTATTATAAAAATGGTAAGGCTTCTAAATTTAAAAGATTTTTTTATATTACATGTTTATATAGATATAGTCTATAGATATTGCGCTTTAACTTGCTTTAATTAGTTTGTATTACTGTTTTGTACTATTGTAAGAATCATTATGACCCATTACTTGATTTTGACTTATCCGTGCATCATAACAAATCTGACCTAATTGACAGCTGCTCCCTTCTACTTGCCAACAACGTGTGAGAAGCAGGAAGGACTTCGTTATTGGAATCGATTTATCAGTAGATGATGACAAATTAGTCAAATTAGATAGACTCGATCATTAACTGCTAAATAAATAATAATAATTAATTCAATACAGCTTAATTCATTTACAAATAAAGCAGATCATAAAGTTAATATGATGAACAAATTTCGATTTATTTATTTTAATAAGCTGGCCGATAGAGTATTTCCTATTTAAAACTGTTGTTTTAATCTCAAAGATTAGGAACAATATCGATAATCAAATTCAACAACGGAAGACTAATTCAGAGTCGCTTTTATCTAGTAAATAACGATCCTCAACAATCAGCGTTTCAAATTTCACGAAAGGTAAAACACGAAGGAAATGACAACAACAAAAAACCCCAATGTTTCCGGAATCCCCTCGCCGGCGATTTGTTCTCCCCGGAAATCTCAAAAATCACTCATCCGACTAAAAATCGCTCACCAAAATCCAATTGGAGGAATAGGTACCTTTTTGGAGGCCTTCTCGACAAGCTTTCTCACGAACATCGCCGGCGGAGATCGGTGGCCACTCGGTTAGAGAAATCGGAGAAGATGGTGATAACCTTCGATCTGATCTGATCGAGTCAGGATTTCGAAATTGAAGAAGAAAGAGGCGCTGCTTTGCTATGGAGAACCGCTTCGTGGGGGAAACAGAGGCGAATGATTAGAGGACTGTGGACTTCGGGGTTTTTATAATGCCGGAGGAGAAACGGAAGGACACGTGTGCTTGAGCGAATGGATAGTGGGCCCGAGTTTTGGGTAAAGAAAATGGGCCTACTTATTAGGAGTGGGTCCACGGAGGCTTCCGTTTGACACGTAAGCTTGCGTTTAAAGCGATCCACCGACCTCTATGATATCCTTAAAGGAGTTAAGGACGGTTCTTGCGATATGGGCATTAATACGCACGTTGAGTTATATATTTCTGACCGTACCAAGAGAGTGTCATTATGGGAAGAGATTATTCTGTGCGGATGTTAAATATAGTTTAACGTTTGGAGATCAATCAAAATGCCTCATAGTAGCGGTACTGAACTCCATACCGAGCTGTATCGAGCCGCCGCACAAAGTAGTACCGAGTAGGGGGCGACATGACACATTATGATTGGTCTCTGAATAACGTTCGACGTCCACATAAAATAATTTCACCAATATCGACGAGCCATAATAGTAACTATTACTTGTACTGTTTTAGTATTAGTTCATCATAATTATTTTTAGCATAAATTTTGATAAATAAATAAAATATATGTAAAGATATTATGATATATTTTGTATCAAGATAGATTTCAAAGCTCTTGATTTAGGTTGAGATTGCTATATATAATATTTAAGAGATAAGATAATTTTTATATAAATTAAGGAATTTTGAAACCCATCAAAATGTAAAATATATCATGATAAATTTATAGTTTTGTTAATAAGAATTTCTCACTTGAAGCATCTAAAATAACATATATTTTGTATGCATAATACATAGGGCTGTCAATAATTGACACGACCCGAAAACCCGTTTAGCTTCGGGTCATTTCGGGTTAGACACGAATCCGACCCGTGACCCGAAATTGACACCCCTAATAATACATATGCTTCAAATGGCATTACAGTTTTCAAAATCAGAATGAAATGCAAAAAAAAAAAATAAAAAGCATTCCTCAAAGAGTTTCTCTAAGGATATATTTGTTACAGCTACAACTTTTACTTAAAGCAATTGTAAAAAAATGTTATGAGAAAATATTTTTTTTGAAAACGGTTGTAAAAAACAACTTTTCAGCATAGAAAATTTTCAAAGCAGTAAGAAATTAGTAGTAAAATCGAACTGCAATTGTGGTATGAAAGCAAAACGAAAAGACAGTTGTTCCAAATAGGAGAAATTATTTTGTGTAGTCACCGAACGGTCCAGAGGCGAGTCAGAACACGTCACGTCACCCGGTATGGAGTGGTACATAACAAAAAAATGACGTGGCACGTTCTCACTCATCTCTGGACGTCATTCGGTGACCGTCAGAATAATTTCTTCCTAAACAGACCCTCAATCTTATTTCTTTTGTTTAATTAGAAAGCATAATTGTGGCTCCAAAATTTTTAACTTTATAAGCAATCAAAGGTTGTTAAGGATTACCTATCATAGTAACATGAAAATTTTACAAATAAGAAACTCTATAAATGTTAGGATTTCCTCTAAGTTATTTTGCCTTTGCAGGAATATGAATATGAAGTTGTAGCCTTCTTAGCTTTTATATTGGAATCATTATGCCTCTCCAAAATTAGAAGTTATTAAAGACAATGCATATATATTTATATAAGCAAACTCTATGGAAGCCAATGAATATTATCCAAGTATAAGTTATTTTAAATAAATATCCTCAGCTGCACATTAAAATTGGCAATTAAAGCAATAGAGATTTGTTGAATTCCTAATATGCTGTAGTTGGCTCAGTATGAAGACAATGAAATAAGATACATTTTGTTCATAAATAATGTTTTGGGAGATGTGTCCACCTTAAGAATGGATCGAAAGTCTTTGCCCCAACCCATCCAATTGATCGGTAGCTAAGCAGCTTCAATTGTGTCTAGTGAGAGGAAATAAATTTTTATTTATTATTGACGGAATATGATAGGCTATTTTGGAGGTCGAGAGTATACACGGCAGTAGAGTAAGAGAATAAAATGTTTTAGCAATGTACGCATATTTGACACACCAACTGATAATTAAGAGAGAAAAACACTAAAAGCTTTTTTTGACAGAATAAAAAAGAAGGAAGAGAACACGGAACAGAGCTTGTAATAGAAAATAGAGTTTTGTGTATTATATAAAAGTAATGTTTACATATTGGTATATATAGAGAGATAGGGAGAAGAATTCAGCTAATATTTACAAAGATGTCCTAAAGAAAGTACAGCATGTCGTTTCTCTTATTAGCCCCCCGCAAATTGTGCATTATGTACTGGAAGAATCAGTTTGTCACGTAAAATGTGAAATCTGGTAATGGCCAGAGGCTTCGTGAAGATGCCGGTGATCTGATCGACAGAACTAATGTGTTCTATGTGGATTGCACCATTGTCAATTTGTTGACGAAGAAAGTGGTAGTCAAGTTCGATGTGTTTAGTGCAAGCGTGGAAGACGGGATTCCTTGCGAGTGCTATAGCGGAAGTGTTATCGCAGTAGATAGTAGTGGGAGCTTCTTGAGGCAGATGTAGTTCCTCTACTAAACGGCGGAGCCATATAACATCAGAGGCGGCAGCGGAGAGAGATCGGTACTCTGCCTCAGTCGACGACTTTGCAACGGTTGCTTGCTTCTTGACGGACCAGGAGATGAGGGTGTTGCCAAGGTAGGTACAAAATCCTGAGACGGATTTTCGGTCGAAGCTGTCCGATGCCCAGTCGGCATCGACGTACGTACGAAGAGTCAGAGTGCCTGGTGAGATCGGTAGACCGGAGTTGAGTGATCCTTTAATGCATGTATCGGAGCAGTCTCTTGAGCATCTGAAAATGACGGTCAGTGGGGGCATGCATATGTTGACATATGCGGTTGGCAGCAAATGCGATATCCGGGCGAGTAATGGAAAGGTATTGTAAAGACCCAGCTATTTTGTGGTAAAGATGTGGGTCGGCAAATGGCTTGTCATCTGGATCGGAATTAGAGTGAGACGGCGTGATCAAAGTGGGAGCAATGCTGCAGTCTTGTAGTCCAACATCTTGAAGAATCTTGAGAGCATAGTGCTGTTGATTTAGCAGGTATCCAGAGGAGGTTTTGATAAATTGAATGCCTAGGAACAAGGATACATTGCCTAGTTGTTTTAGAGAGAAGTGAGAGCGGAGAAATTGAATAAGAGATTGAATTGTTGAGTGATTGTTTCCTGTTAAGAGAATGTCATCGACATAGATTAAAAAATATAATTGAACAGTGTTGTGGTGAAAAATAAGGAGAGATGGATCGGAACGACTAAACCTGAATCCAAACTGTATGAGGAGAGACGTGAGTTTGTGAAACCACTATCTCGGTGCCTGTTTAAGGCCGTAGAGAGATTTGTGAAGTTGGCAAACATAATGCGGATGCTTTGTGTCGATGAACTCTGCAGGTTGACACATGTACACCGTGTCCGTTAGATCGCCATGGAGTAATGCATTTGAGATATCAAGTTGAAGTATATACCATTACCGATGAAGTGCCAGAGTTAAGAGAACCCGAATGGTTGGCATCTTAGCGACATGACTGAAGGTTTCGGTATAGTTGACACCGAGAGTTTGATTGAAGCCCTGGGTAACTAAACGAGCCTTGTAGCGATCGACCTTCCCATTTGGTAGTAGTTTTGATTTAAACGTCCATTTGCAGCAAAGGATTGGATCGTGAACAGGTGGTGGAACGAGGGTCCACGTACCATGACGCTGAAGAGCTGAAAATTCCTCTTCCATTGCGGTCTGCCAATGCGGAATTTTGGAAGCCTGAGTGTAAGTGGTAGGAGTGGACATAGTAGAAGTTGTGGCCAATAGATCATATATCTGTTTGGGCTTGTAAATTCCTGATTTGTCCCGTGTCTGCATTGGATGTGTTTGAGCAGGCGGTGGATAAGGCAACGGAGGATCAGCCTCTGTGGTCCGAGTATTAGTATTAGCGTCTGGAGTACAGATGGGAGCTGGACAAGTTGGTTGGATCACCCTGGGAGCAGCATGGTCAGTGGTGCGCAAAATAGACACAGGGGTTGTAAGTAGTGGTGATAGTTTGTCTGTGGCATACGGTTGAAGCCACGGATAGCAAAGACAGCCTAAAATACGAAGATGATCGTAAGTCGGTGCAATGCCATGGATAATTTGATAGGGAATTTGGTTTGAGATGGCCTTGAACGGTAGCCTATTGATTAGATAGGTTGCCGTAGCGACAGCTTTAGGCCAAAATTGTTTTGGCAGATAGGCGTCGTGCAAGAGAGTACGCGTGAGTTCCAGGAGATGGCGATGTTTCCGTTCAGCGAGTCTGTTTTGTTCTGGAGTGTGCGGGCAGCTGGTTTGATGAAGAATGCCATGCGAGGAGAGAAATGTTTTAAACTGTGTACTGCAAAATTCTCCGCCGCCATCAGATCTGAAAACTTTAGGTGTAGTATTAAAAATGTTTTTAACAAGAGCACAGAAATGAGTAAATTTGGAAAATGTTTCATGTTTGGAATGCATCAGATAGAGCCAAGTAAATTTTGAGAAATCGTCAACGAAAATGACATAGTAATTAAATCCGTTTAACGATTGTATAGGAGCCGGGCCCCAAACGTCCGAGTGAATCAATTGAAAAGCATGCGATGAATCAGTGGTTCTTTTATTAAAAGGAAGTTTATGACATTTAGCCATGCTACAAGAATTATAATGAAACTTAGTAGTATCAAGTGCTAGAGACGGTATCAGGTGATGAAGCCGCGTGAGGACTCCGGTGTGAGGGTGACCAAGTCTTACGTGCCAGAGAAGAGTAGACGACTGCCGAGCAAGAAGAGAGGGGGACGAGCCGGGGGTAGGTTCCGCAAGCAGTATAGGCCATTATGTAGTTGACTAAGAAGAAGTGAGCGGTGATCCTGACCATCCTTAATGACAAAGCCATTTTCGTCAAAAGAGATAGAAACTTTGTTGTCTTTGGTTAGTTTTGAAATTGAAATAAGATTATGAGTAAGC